AATGACCCAATAGTTGTGTCCAATAATCAGTAGTAATTGAGCCGAGCCTTCATTCTCCGACTCAAATATGCGCTGAAATGTTGAATCAATTTTATAATCATTTTCGGCATAAGATTCACAAAAATCTCTGCTTTCGTGTCCATTGAGTTGCGATGAATTGATAATCACTGAAAATAAAAAGTTTTAAGTATATTACAGTTATTTATTTCATATACCTATCAAAATTGTGATCAAAAAATACATTTTAATTTCTAAATTGTAGACTTGGTACAAATTTAATGTTTAGTTGATATGCAACTTGATTGTGAACTAAGTGCAACACAAATGAATGTCTATTAAATATAAGCCTAATTAGTCTGGGATATTAACGTTAGACAGACTAACCAATGATTAATCACTTATTGATTATGTGATGATTTACATAATGTGTACTCAAATTACACCATTTAAATTACAAACATATTTGTATGATTAACATTTTTACAAACAGGATAAATGACTCTATTTGTAAAATATTTTCAATCAACAATAATCATTTTCAAACATACCATGAACTCAGTTTGCAATTAATTTTGTCTGAAATATTATATTTCCTATTCTTATTTAGTATACTATTTTTAGTTTAGCAATTAGTAGCTTATAATTAATTATTAATAGTACATAGTTATTTTGCAATAGTATTCAAATTTAGATTTATTAACTAGCTATACTTGGTTATTTATAACATTACGGTATATGACTTATGTATCTTATATTTTATATCAATTAAATATGTTTATCTCTATTCCAGTTATGAAATGAAAATTCATTAATAAAATATTTTTATGAACCTTTTGTCAACATTTTATAATTTAGCAAGCAATATAAAATTACAATAATACTACTTGTAAAACAATACTTTTATATGGCAATAATAAATAATTTATTAATGAATTATTGTTTTAGATAAAATGTTTTGTGTTTTAAATTGCAAGTTTAAAATACCAATTCATACTAATTTATTTTTCAAAATGTTTATTAAAATAGTATTCATATAGTGTATAATCATTTAGTTTTACAAACTTTTCTAATTCTGAATATTTATTAATTTAATATAAGCTATTGTAAAATAATTTTCAATAAACAATTTTACGATAAATCATTAATACAATTCTATTTTAGTATAGTTTTGAAAACATTACTATAATTAAACACTTGATTTAAAAATAAATTTTGTATAAATACTATTTTTGTCAAAACATTTCAGTATTTGAATTTGGGTCACAAAACAACACCTGATAATAGCATGCAATACAATGATAGCGCATGTATTTCAGTGCAGAATATAATGGATACTAGTGTTGACTAAACAGATTCTGTCATTTATTTGCTATTATTTTATATACTATATTATATACAGTACTAACATTTCTAGTAAACTATTATACAATATCTATACAATAAGTTTGCTAAATATAATTTATAATAACATTGTAATATCCTTAACATTATAATCCATGTCATATATGCTTAAAGTTTTATTATTATCATAAGACAAAAGTTCTTACTATCAGTTTGTTTTTGATATGCAATACAAATATTAAATTCTTATCAATTATTTTATGAGATAATATGGTTAATGTCAACTAGTTTTCTAGTCTATGATTTCACTTATTATTATAATTACTCACAAACATAATAATTATATTTAAATATTTTATTTCTAAATATTATATTAAAAATGTTTTCTCACTCAAGAATTTCCGTGAATTTATTGCATAATTATTGTCGACGTGTTTGTGGCGCTAAAAATGTTTTTCGTAATACTGTTAGCACTGGTAGTCGAGCGCCGGCTGCCGATCTGTACGACACATTTGGTCGCAAACATAATTATTTACGGATTTCACTGACCGAGAGATGTAATCTCAGGTGTAAGTGAGCTTGAACATTTTTAATTTTATGTTTTTTATTGTTAACTATTTTAAAACTATTAATTATTTATTTTATACTACTTTATTTGAATACATTTTATAAATTAAATAGACTTAAATTTTCTTAACTTTGCTTGATGCTAAAATCAAATAGATTGAACCTTGTTGAATTTACTTGCGTAATAAATAATTGTTTATTTTGACGCATAAATAGGTTTATATTGTATGCCAGAGGAAGGCATAGAGTTGACGGCAAATGATCAGCTGTTGACCACCGATGAGATCAAACAAATTAGTGGTCTGTTTGTCAAAACTCTTGGTGTGACTAAAATACGGCTGACTGGAGGCGAACGTAACTAACATTTAGATATTATTTACAAACAATTAACTCTTAATTAATCATTTGTTTTTACAAACACTGGTTCAGCGCTTATTCGTAAGGATATCATCGATATTATCAGACATTTGTCTGAATTAAGACCTTTTGGTCTCAAAACAATTGGTTTGACAACTAATGGTATAGTTTTGGATAGGATGTGCTCGGACTTAAAGCTCGCAGGTATGTGTTGAGAGAGAGAGAGAGAGAGAGAGAGAGAGATTAATTTTAAAAAATTGGTGTCCAGACTTGCGTTATTTGTATTCAGAGCTATGTAATGCTCGCCTATTTATGCTCAATTAGTGAGCTGCCTTTCCGAATCGACTAGTGATGAAAGCCATAGACCGGGCCTTAAGCACTGGTTTTGACTCAATTAAACTCAATTGTGTAGTCATTAAGGGGTTCAACGAGTCTGAGATACCGGCGTTCGTTGAGCTGACCCGGGATTCACCACTGGATGTCCGGTTCATTGAGTACATGCCCTTTGATGGGAACCGGTGGGCGTCGCAAAAGATGGTCACCTATCAGGAGATGTTAGCTATTATTCGTGATGTATATCCCGGTATTAGACAACTGGAGCCCAAACTCAATGAGACTGCGAAGGCTTACAAAGTGGATGAGTTTAAGGGACAGTTAGGTTTTATCACATCCATGAGCGACAACTTCTGCGGCACCTGTAATAGGATTAGGATTACAGCCGATGGAAACCTTAAGGTTAGGTATATTTGGTGTTAATTCTGAAGTTTTTGTTTAAACTTTTCATTTTATAACACAATAGGTGTGTCTGTTTGGTAGGGAAGAGGTGTCGCTCCGGGATGCTATCCGTATGGGTGTGGATGAGACACAACTCGTGGCACTCATAAGGGATGCCTTAAATCGTAAACATAGACAACACGCAGGTATTCATCAAAAATTACATTAAAAACTGTTAATTACTTATTACATACCCTATCAAACCTACAGGTGCTCTTGAAATAGCCAAAACTCCGAACAGACCAATGATAAGGATCGGTGGGTGACTTATAACTGGTCACTATTTTTTCATACCATTCCCCTATACATACAAGACATGCAACTCATTAGACCATTTTCGGATCAATTCACTAGCACCACATCCCTGGCCACTACAACATCGGCTACAAGTGCGACAGTACAGCACCGNTGTCGCTCCGGGATGCTATCCGTATGGGTGTGGATGAGACACAACTCGTGGCACTCATAAGGGATGCCTTAAATCGTAAACATAGACAACACGCAGGTATTCATCAAAAATTACATTAAAAACTGTTAATTACTTATTACATACCCTATCAAACCTACAGGTGCTCTTGAAATAGCCAAAACTCCGAACAGACCAATGATAAGGATCGGTGGGTGACTTATAACTGGTCACTATTTTTTCATACCATTCCCCTATACATACAAGACATGCAACTCATTAGACCATTTTCGGATCAATTCACTAGCACCACATCCCTGGCCACTACAACATCGGCTACAAGTGCGACAGTACAGCACCGGTACCACTGATGACCAGTTCACACATTTAGACCAACGGACAGGCGATCCAAAAATGGTTGACATCAGTGGTAAACCCGTGTCAGTGCGGATAGCCTGCGCTGTTGGCAGGGTATGGGTGGGCGCCCCTGTATGTCAGTTAATACGGGATAATGCGGTCAAAAAGGGGAACGTCTTAACGGTGGCCCAAATCGCGGGCATTATAGCCGCCAAACAGACCTCAAAACTCATACCCCTTTGCCATCAGATAAATCTCGAAGACGTGTCGATAGACATGAGAGTGGATGTCGATAATGAAGAGGTTGTGATCGAGTCCAGGGTTAAGACTAGGTATGGGACGGGAGTTGAGATGGAGGCGCTTACGGCTGTCTCTGTGGCCGCCCTAACGGTGTATGATATGTGCAAATCGGTTAACAATAGGATTGTCATCAAAGAGATCCGTTTAGTGGTAAAGAGTGGCGGAAAACGAGACTTTCATTTATAAATTAGATTTTTATTCCATTTTTTACCTTGATAATTTTGCTTTTTAGTTATGTTTTTATTTTATAATATAATTTTGTTTGCATTTGACGACATTGTATGCAATAATAAATAAAAACTTCATTATCACTCAATTTTAGTAATTCATAACTAAATTATTACAATGATTTTTGCCTACAATTTAAATGATATCCGATTATCAGCCATGAGGCCAGTGACCTTTACCCGGATAACAAAAATTTTTGTGAAATCATTATGACATTTCGTGAGGTGACCATGCTAAAAAATGGTATTTTACAGTATATATACTTTGCTACTTGAAAGCTAGCAAATAGATAAATGATGTCCAATTACCAGTCATATTAGCCAGTGACTTTAACCCGAGTAATGGGGCGATAAAAATCCCAAAACATTATATGTTGAATAATGCCCCTTGTGAGAACCAAGCTAACTTTTAATTATTTTATGCCTACAAAATTAAAACTCTGTTTGGTTTTATATAGATAATGTGTATACGATAATGTAGATAGTGTATTGTACTCAGTTACATGTCTAGTTATAAACTACATGGCCCAAATAATTTTTAAACATTATATTCGTTAAACCATGCTGAATTTAACGTTATAATCTACAGAGTAGTTTATTAAACAATAAACATTTAATATATAATATGTTTATATTTATGTTTATAGTATATTCAATTTGTACTAATTTATTTTTAAAATCAATTATTTAGCAATTTATTGAATAAACATTACTACAAATAATAAATCATTTGCATTATATTTAAACTCATCACGATATCATTTTTATATTGCTTTTCGTAAACATAAAAGTCATTAAATATTAAACAAATTGCTATTACCGGTAAAATAATATACACGTACAATATTTAAGGTCAAATAAAATGGTTTGTAATAAATAATATGAAAAATATAAACCAAATCAATACATTGATTTGCAAACTGTATTAGTAATAAGAAAATATCACTATCTAAAAACACAACATTTATTATCCTTTTAATTATCAGAAACTTTTATTAACATTATTATAGTCAACACAATGGAAGAGAAATTAGTTAAAAGACTTCAAACAATGGATGAAATCATGTATCTATTGGGAGAGAAGTGCTATCGAAATGGTTTCCCAAAGTTTAACAAACACTACAGGAATCGCAATTCAAATGCCATTCAAATCTATTACATGTTTATGTGTCTCGAAGTTATCAAAACTATAGTATCCATGTATTTATGCGATGAGTATTTTGCTATTATTTCCGGTGATTACAGCTTTTATTGGACTTTTAAATATCAGATCAGATTTGTTGAGATAACGGCTATTATATGTATTTTATTGCTGAGAATCCATTCGTACTATTTGTTCAAAAGTGGTAATTACCTAGATGATTGGTATTTGGACAGAGTGGGTAGTTATCATAAAAGTAAAGTCAAAATGTATATCAAGATATTTGATATAGTATTTCAGATAATGTTTATATTGATTGGCTTTTTTATACCATTCATATCCATGTTATTACACTATTCTGTAACCCATTTGTTAACATTTGGTTTACTATGGAGTTTCTATATGTGTGTATTAGTGCGGGCATTGGCTATGATTTATATCTGGATATTCATACAATTTATGGCACAATGCTATCGATCGACAGTACATTTGAAACTCAATAATCAAATCATTTTAAACATTAAACGCAAGGTTTTTGTCACAAACAGCCATTTGTCACAATTGTGTCAAACACTGGACAATGGATTCGCACTGATATCTGAGGCAAACCAGAGGTGGTGTCTAAACGTACTGTGCTTTTGGGTCCTATTCTCTACTATCATAGGCAATCAAACCATACAATTGTTTTCAAGTGAAATAGACATTGCGATTATCATTATGTTTGTTATGACTATATTTACGTGTGTTATCACTATTACACTGATTCTCGGATTTTCTAGTTATGTGAACACAGAATCCAAACAAACTCACAAACTATTGACTCATTTGTTTGCATTTATTGTGCACTTAAGGCCTGAGAGAAGTAATTTTATACCGGCTAAGAGCAAGGTAATTTTGATTATTAAATGCTGTGTAATAGTTTTAATTTTTCATTTATTATATTTATATTAGTTGTTAGCAGTTATGGAGAAAACAACTAAAAATAAAATATCTAATTCTCTGACAAGTAATGAGCAGTTAATTAGAAATAAGCTAAAAGTAAGTTTGAGTTAAACAAGCAGAATTTCCAAAATAATTTGATAAACTGCTTATATATTAATTCACAGATTTCGTTATTAATTGAAAGGACTTCCGATTATAATATTGGATATTATTGCTGGAAATTATTTTTAATCACTCAGTTTGCATACTACGAGGTATACTATAGTAAATAAATATTTGTATCTATTATAATTAATTCTAATTATATGATTATGTCTTACAGTTTATTTTTATTACAACAGCTATTACTTTAAAATTGTTTAAAATGTTTTTGTAATGCTATATTATATACAAGTATACTTATTTTTGCTAATGTTAATTGTAAAATTGTAACTTAATAACTTATAAATGTTTAAATAAATTACTATAATTGTCAATAATAATTATGTAACTAGCACAATAATTAACATATTTCAATAAACAATAGTTACAAAAATAGAAAATTAAATATTTAGCTTCAATTGTGTTGTAAGTAAAGCAGCTCAGAAGTACCTGGAATAATACCCTAGGTTTTACTTGAAATAATTCATAGTAATTGCATTACACTTGCCATAATCATTTATTAAATGTATATTTCCTAGAATGTGATAACTTATCAAGAAACTCAAAATTAGCAATGCTTGTTAATATTTATTAGGGACGCATGTTAGATAAAATAAAATTAATGGGAACTCAAAAATAAACTTAAAAATAAAGGTTTATTAATAAATATTTAAAAATCTATAATAACTTTTATAATGTCATTAATCAGCATTAATATTTAAACTAAAAATTATATTTTGACAGTTTTATTATTAATTTAAAGTTTTCATAAGTAACATGATTCATTTAGATATCTATATCATTAGAATTTGATAATTTTTTTAAATATTAAATATGTAGGTGGCATTAATTTGTATAATTTTTGACAATCCAAAATAATTATTTTAAAAAATTCTATTTAGTAATACAGATATTTTCAGTAACTTAATAGTTAATCATACACACTATTTATGGCTCTCATTGCTGCAAACACCCTGGTCCATTCATCTAGAAATTTATTTAAAATCTCATTTAACAGGGGCAGACGAAACTTGAATTGAGCCTTTATTGCCCGGATAGTCTCCCTTTCCACGTCATCATCCCATTGACTGCCGCAAAACTGCATACCCGGCTGATTGGACTCATTAATATTCTCATTTACCAAGTTCATCAGGGTTGAAAACGCGGTAGAAAATTTGGTCAAATCACCAACGTGATGCCCCTGTTGAGCACCAGGTACAAACTGAAATAATACACGTATGAACTTGGCCAAATTGATATATAGTAACGCTTTCTTGTCGAACCGCAAGTCATACGGAGTTTCAGACGTTTGATGTTTAGCCGAGTCGATGACAACGGTGCCAATGCCATCCAGTAGGTCAGCCAGATCAGTACGTACAGCAAATGCAAAATTATCTGGCTCATTTGCGAGTCGCTCAAATCCTTGGCGTAAGTCCTCACCTACTTTTAGCCACAGGTGCCGATTCTTGTCCACAATGGAGGTTAGGTTATGTGTGTCCATACACTCGGCGAACTGAAACGGTTGATCCGCATCTCCATTAACACCGGTATTAGCTATGAAAGTCACAAATATAGCAATAATTATTTGAGACAGCATATTTTAATATTACAATAGTTTTACAGTAAGTGTAATAACTAAATATTTTTACGATTAATGTATCTCTAATGTAACTCTTTGTACTATACTACGACTGGGTTTGCGATATATATAGTAAATAGTTTTAGTTAAATAGATGATGTGGGTTAGTTTTATAAATAATGCAGCTGGTGGAATTACTTTGCTGTTTGAATATTATGCAATTACTTTGAATTGTTTGTTTCGGGTTAATTTAACTATATTAGTGTATTATTCAGACTGTATGTATAGCCAATGGAATAAAGGTTTATAAACTCAATCACGGCTGACATCAAAATCCGCTTAAAATTCAGATTTTGAATCATTATTTTTAACTAATATATAAATCAATTGACAATTATATTCACAATCGTAACAATCAATGCCTTAACGCTATTATTCTTCAAATTGCAATCAATCCTTTACATCACTAAAATGTTTTTGTCAAAAAACATATAACATTTGAAAATTCAAATCACAACTGATTTACTGGTTTATGAGACAAAACACAAAAGTGTTACAAATAGTGAGCAAAACATTTGATATCCATTTCCAAACACTTGTAAAACAAATTTCAAAATCAAAACCAATTAAAATCAAGTGATCATTATATGCCGAAGTGGTTCAAGAAAAAGCCCAAACCCATGGATCCGTCTGAAAAGGACAAGTCCGTAGATTCCTTGGCCGGAGAGCCTGTTGAGAGCACCTGTAGGCCCAGTGGTTGTGCCAAAGCTGTGCTCCCATTCTTTGCGGGCATAACTGTGGGCGCAGTTGTCGTCTACTATTGTATCAAATATTATCCGTAAAACTCGTTTCAATAGATCCAACAGTTTGTGGTTTTGCCTCAAAATTATATAATTAGAAATCTGACACTTATTTCTCTGTATAAAAATTGTAATCAAAAACTATATGTCAAATAAAATTCAATTTTAAACCCAAATACAAAATCAAGTTTTTGTTTTTATTGAAAAACTTTGGTAAATAATCCAAGAATTTACTTTAATTTCTATTTCTATTAAATTCTATTGAAATGCAATTTAAGTCTTATATAAATATGAAAATAGATACGAAATGAATACGAAAACTGGAGAAATATAACAATTTTTGAGACAAATAATCAAAACTACATATTATGTTACACTGAATTTAAGTCTAATTAAGTTTTGGTTACAAATTAAGGTGTTTTTAATATAAAATACAAAAATACATTCAATGCATATACAGACAAATATATAAAACTAAAAATAACTATTAAAAAGCTAACGATTTGAAAGTACCGGTTGTCATATTATTATATGGGGACGACTGGTCGGGCGTATTGACGCTACTGTTCGGCGGTGTCACAGCACCGGTAGGTTTTTGTGCAGCTTTCTTAGCGCTTATATTTGGCGACAAATCATACCTTTTATTAACAGTGATCGGTGACCTGGATTTGGGAGCCCGGGGACGTTTTTGTACAGCTTTCTTAGCGCCTATATCTGGCTTCAGGTCATGCCTTTTATGAAAAGCGATTGGTGACCGGGGTTTGTGAGCACCTGGAGGTGGTTGGGGACTCTTTGCTCGCTTAACCTTTTTATGGGGCGACGATATGTCCCTCGAGTACACTAAATACATCATAAATACCACAAGAGTTGTCAGTATAACGGACAGCCCTATCACGACATAACAGATGACGTAGAGAGTGTCCTGGTTAATCTCGGATAAGACAGATAATAGTGGGATCCATAGCACGGGTTTACAACTTATTAACAAATGTTGTGTCAAATTTTGGCACTGAATACAGAAAAATAATTACAGAATATTCTGTAAAAACAAATCATTATGACATGACATACATCGCCAAACACTTGGGACGCCGGCACCCAACACGAGTAGATATTGTAGTCTAGTTTGTATAGCATTAAGTACCGGTGCTCGTCAAAGGGTCCGAATACGGCCAGCATTTTGTGTGGGCTCTCGGCGTTCACTTTGCCGTCAAATACGCGGTGAATGTCGTTGAGAGTGCTGTTTGTAGTCTCTGTATAGTAGGCGAGTGTCGTGAAGTGAAAGCACCGGTAGTTTCTGGCGAACACGTCGGTGAACGCCATCACCTCTTGGTTTAAGAGGCAGATAATCGATTGGCCTAACGGTGCGATGATACTGACGGTGGGTGTGAATCCCGGGCCTAACGTTAAGTTCAACGGCTTTTCAAACGATCGGTCAGTATTTATCAAACTATAGGCGCCGTCACGGAATTGACCCCAATCTAGAGTCTGGTCACTGGACTGATAGGGTTGGGAGGTATGAGTAGTTTGGTTTTAAAATTATATTTTGAATGTATGTATAAAATGCAAAACTTATATGAATTTCAAGTAATCTTAATGTTAAAGTATGACTGGTTTTAAATACATGTAAATCAAAAGCTTGTGTTTAAGTTATCAATAATTTTAGTATAAATTATATGATTTAAAATCTTATTCATAGATTAGCAGTGATTTAAATTCTAGGAAATTAAATGAATGATAATTTTTGGGATACCTTATAGAGTGCATAGAAGTACTGTTTGTTGTATCGGACGCTAAACCCAGTGGTGTATCGTTTGCCAAACCAATCGCTTTGATAACTATTTGTTTGCAAAACCGGATCTGTTTTGTCGTTAAAGCCGACGAACCAATAGTTTTGGCCAATAATTAGCGATAAATAAGATCTTATGGTTTGGTTATCGCTGTATAAGCGCTGAAAACTATAGTCTATTTCGTATGAATTGTCTTTGAATTGTCGGCAAAAGTCACCAATGGTTTGATGGACAGGGAGTTGTGATAATAGTGAGACTAAGACTGACAATGATATAGGGATTAGTGAGACAATAGATTAACAAATTCAATGGTTTTATGGTCTATACCTGTCAGAAGCGATACAAATGAATACATTTTGAAATACATGTTAATTACTGTAAAAAAACTCTCGACAGTTTTGAAATGAATGTATAAGTCTTGTTTGAATTTTGTATATTTAAATTTTAAAACAATATTTATTTGATCGCTATTATTGTAATCATAGCTCATTTCCACTGTTTTGCCTGTAGTTTACAAAATTGCTTGTAGAGTATAAATTGTATTATTCATTATTGCAACAGGTTTTAGTAAATTGTGTTATATTTTAGTTTAATTTTTAACATAAAGTCATAAGAATATCAAAATTCCTGTCAATTAAATGAAGGTTTAATTTAACCCAAAACCGGTGTATCCGTGAAGTCAACCGAATCGGTGGCGGAATGTAATTCAAACACTAATATATCATTTTTGCCGGTTTTTAGTAACGGTGCAGGGATATACAGTGTCTGTTGGGGTCCGATGTGGTAATAGCGGCCGATATTGAAAGCATTGATGAATGCATTTCCTTTCACCCAACCGTCCAGTCGTATGAATGTATCCCTCGGACTGTCCTTAATATCCAATTCAAACCGATAAACGGCTGGACTTTTGAGGCCCTCAATGAAAGGCTTTCCCTTCAATTCAGACAATTGTTTAACAAATGGTTCTTTGAATTCAAGCGGAAATGTCTCGATATTTGTGGCAACTTTTGTATCGATAGTGATATCGCCGTTAAGACCTTTTCGGGCGCTATTAATCCCGTCCCCAATCTTCGCTCGACCGGTGTTTTCGACGATTATATCCAACGTATGAGTCGTTGTGTTTGCAAATTGCGAGTCATTTAAGTCCTGATTATAGTCTTTATTGTTATCGACGACACCGACCTCTTTGTGGTCTACGAGTATGACTCCCCGATCAGAGGCACCACCTATTTTTATTCCCAATATTTATAAGTAATTATTAACTTAATTTCATTAAAATGTGTTGAATTACCCGTGACTTTCAAATGCTTAAACTTAGTAACATTTGAGAGTCTATAGAGAATAAAACCAAAATTTTGTCCATAATTTGAGCCAATGTTTAATAACTCCATGTGTTGTGGCTTTTCGGTGACGATTGGCTTGATTTTGATCAACACGTCCTCTAAACTCAAGTAATCCTTAACTTTGAGTTTCCCGTAACCAGTGGTTAGCGACACGACTGGAGGTTTAGGTATTGAAAGTTGTGGTAAACCTCTCTCTTTCGTGAACTTCTCAATCAATTCCTTAGTTTTCCAATACTTTGCGGTATAATTGCCTTAAAATACATAAGAATTATTAATAATTTTCATAACACATCCCAAATAAAAAGTTGTGGTAAACCTCTCTCTTTCGTGAACTTCTCAATCAATTCCTTTGTTTTCCAATACTTTTCGGTATAATTGCCTTAAAATACATAAGAATTATTAATAATTTTCATAACACATCTCAAATAAAAACATACCTGTCTCAGATAGTGGTGCGTCATAATCATAACTAGTGACCACAGTATCCCCGTTCATAAACCCAAAGTTAGTGCCACCGAAAAACATAATTAATAATTTTCATAACACATCCCAAATAAAAACATACCTGTCTCAGATAGTGGTGCGTCATAATCATAACTAGTGACCACAGTATCCCCGTTCATAAACCCAAAGTTAGTGCCACCGAAAAACATATAGAAATTAACCGATGAATTGGCCTTGAACAGTACATCCGTGATCTCCTTCTCAAAAAAGTTGACATCATAGGTGTGGTGTTTGTCATCTCCCCATTGGTCGTACCACCCTGGCCAGAACTCGGACACATACAGGGGCTTGTTAGGCTGTGCTGCGCGTAGTTTAGTTAATAGGTTCAGGGAATCAGACTGAAAGTTATCGGTCTCTAAAACACCTGAATATAAAGTTAATATAATAAAAAATGTTTTTAAAAATCAGATTTTTGTTAGTATTTTGTAAATAGCATAATAAATAACACACTTTTTCTAGTGATACTGATAGTAAAGGTATATGAAAATCATGTTAAAAATAACTAGTATTTTGAATAATAAAATCAAAACATCAAAAATAACTCAAACATCACAACTGGTTGCACCCATACCTGGGAGGGCAGTCTTCGTGGCGTCGGCTGCCGTACCAAATGAATCACAATTAGTGAGCAATTCTTTGAATCCGTGGGAATCGATGACATTCTTCATGAACTGGAAGTACTGCTTATCGTTGTCGTTATGAATGCCTCCGAACTCGTTCTCGAATTGCATGGCTATTATGGGAC